TTAGGACACAGTAAAATTTCTACTACGGCTTTGTATATCAAAGATAGTGATTTAAGTAATTTGGTGAAATTTCGGCCAATTGCTTAATACCTTTATAAAACAAAGGTAAGCTAAAATCATAAACGAATAACAATCTATTTAATAAGTAAAACAGAAACATTTTGCTAAGCAATTTTTAATCTCTGATGGTTTTATATTCGACTTAAAAATTAAAAAAGAATAAGGGAATTTGCTAATAAGGACATGTAAGGCACAAAATATTCTACAAGGAAATTTCTTTTCTTTTCTCGATAATTTTTAATTCAAAGATAGGGAACAAATTAGTCACATAAGTCACTAAACGATCCAAAGTAAACCGATTGATACGAGCAAATAGAATATCCTCTACTTCAGGAATAGTTAAATTGATTTGTTGAGCCAAGTCTTCTATTGGTAAGTTATTCTTTTGCTTATAGAACAATACTCTTTTGCAAAGAGAATACTTACTCCTCTCTAAGGGACTAGCATCTTGGGGTAAAACAATATTAGAACGTGGATAATTGGGCTCTGACAATTCTCTACATACTTTTTCTAACTCTTCTTCGTTTGGGAAGAACGAGATATCTTTTTTTTTCATAACTTTCATATTATTTTTAATTTTTATATTTATAATTGCTATAGCAACAATTAACAATGCCTAAAAAATCAGGTATTTCTTCATGTAATAACCAAATCAGTTTGTATTTTTTATCTTTGTAAAAAATGGGTTCTAAAGTGAAAAATTCTCAGGGTCCATTTTTCTTACCATCATAAAAGTTTTCTCCATCTAAGTACTTGGTGATGAATTTTATAATCTTTTCATCGTCCATATAGTCAGAGTGCTTTTGCTTATAATGATTGCTAATTATCAATCTTTTTATGGAGTATCCATTAATGAAATAATTACAAGCATAAAGAGTTCCTCCTTCGGGCGGAAAGATTAGATCTAGTTTAGTTTGATTCATATAGATTTTATTTTTCTGTTCATTTTCAAGGTTGATATTTCCACAAAAGAATTACTCCTCCAATCCCTACTCCAATTACCACCAACCAAAATAATAATTTACTAATTCAACCTCACCAACTCTTCTTTTCAAAATCCTTTTCTACTTGCATATTAGACTTGTTGAGTTGTTTCATCCGCTCAATAATTTTAGCCTTTTCACTAGGTAAAGGACTAGTTTGAAGCGATTGAGTCAAGTGAAAAATATCTACTTCCTTGCTTCAATAACCGTGGAGTAAATTTAGTCATTTTCCTTCCGTCTGGTCTTTCTGGGTTATTTGTTTTTCAATACGGTTAAGTTGTTGTTTCAGTTGTTGGAGAGCAGTCAATTGTTCTCCCCGTTCTTGCTTAAATCGTTCACGCTGGGCAGTAATCTCCGCTAGAATTAGTTCGGCGGGATGTTTCAGAGGGATTAAGGCTTGGCTAGTCATGGTTCTTTTTTCAAATTTGGTAAATTAAGTAAGCGTCTAGTTGGTGGTTAGATATTCTTTCCGTTCGGCCGTCCGAATGAGTATA